GGAGAATCCTTTAGGTTGAACACTTGGACCTTGGGAGAGCGGGCGCGCGAGCCCATCCTCCAGTTGGGTCCACCATGAGCAGTGGTGCCCCTGATGTGGCTTAGTGATCTTCATGTCGTACGAGCCATGGCCCCGTGCTCAATTCCTCCAGCCGAGGCACCAGATGGCCTGGCCCTGACTTTTGGTGGCCCTGGAAAGAGCTGGCGCAGGTCAGGCACCGGATGGCTGCCGGTGCCCTGGCGCGCAGGTATGCGCTTTTACATGAGTTGAGAGGGTGTGATGCTGTGTGTGTGTGTGTGTGTGTTGGGGGAATGATGGAATGGAGCAAAAGCCGGTACTGAGCAAAGATGGTGTTGCCGTTCACATGCGGGTGGCGAGATGTGCTCGGTTTGCTCCACTGTCACAAACGAAGATCAGAGTGTTTCACAATCACCCAATCAATCAAATGATGGGTACTGATGGGTAAAGGATTGATCATCGAAAGCTTTGATCTAGAAGGAAAGGGGAAGGTACATTGGCTGAACGCTGCCATTTTCAGAGCACCTGTGATTTGTGAGCACAGCTCCTGATTTGTGAGCACAGCTCCCTGTCAGACTCATCAGAGGGTTTACGGTTGGATCGCCAGACTGGCTGCCACAGGTGGACATGAAGTGCGAGATTCTGGACACGGCCGAAGAGAAAGTCCTTGCGTCTCAGTCAGCCGAAGATTCTGCAAGAACGTGATAGTCTCAAAAACAAATGTGACAGCCCTCACTTGGGCTATCATTGGGCTTGACTGCTCAAGAATCAACAGGGACATGTGACATGTAAGAGTTTTCTATGTTGACAGTGTAGGCTTATTAGTTTAAGTTATATACTTTATTTTGGGGGTTGGCAGGTGGGATGTCCTCGGACATTGTCCAATGTCCATAATCAGGGTAGTCTCTCTTCTCAAGGTCTTCCGTGGGTCTTCGGATCATCACGTGTCCACCACCACCACCACCACCACCACCACCACCACCACCACCACCACCTATGAAAGTTAAAACTCTCGTGAACTGTTCCCCAAAAAGAACGTGAACCTTGAACAAAATTGAATGAGACCTCAAACCTATCGCGAACCCTCGGACGCGATCGTCCGATTCGCCCACCGCCCCGGCGCCCGCGCGGGTTTTTCTCGCACGGACTTGAGCTTTGAGCCTTGAGCCAATGACGAACGGATTTGAGGCCCCCAACTAGGGTTGGCTGCACTCAATGGTTTCTTACGAACGCGCACTGTAAGCTAAAGGACGCCGACAGCTTGGGCTGACTGCACCCTTAAATCACAGCTCTGGCGATTGTTGAGTTCGTCATGGCAAGGCTCGGCTTCGACGAACTTGGTACACTTTCTCGATTTGTGCTCTCGAGGAAGCTGGGATACAACACTTCGGATTTGCGCGTGTCATCCCTTCAAAAACCGGCCAAAAACACCCTGGATGGATGCAGCACACATGCAAGCGACTCGAACGATGTTCCCTTCCGATTGTATGCATGACATGTTGTGGTCGAACGAAATGGTCAACGATGGTGACTGTATTTCACACCACCACCACCACCACCACCACCACCACCACCACCACATGCGACAGTCTGGGCTGCTTGGCTTGAACGGAGGATATGGCACTTATTTGCTTAGCTAAGCCTGCAGACACAACTCACATCAACTCACCCATGTTGGGCATTTGGAGCCCATGAGCTTGCTTGGATTCAATTAACAGGAATTCTAAAGGAAGAAGTGGGCAACCTTCCTTTCAAGCTGACTCAGAGTTACTTCGTCACTTCAGGTCTTTGGTTGATCGAAGCTATAGGATGCTTTGAACATCTTTGAACCGCGTAGAGTAGAGTGGTGTTCTTGGAGAATTGGCCTCAGAACCTGTTGGTGACCCAAAAAACGCACTCTCCAGAACCGGTGTAGACTATGTAGACTAGACACATATACCACATGCAGTTTGAACCCACCGCAGCCCCTTCCTTTTGGTCGGTGCCGAGGTGCCTTGGGCCTTCATGGGCGCCTTCCCAGGCCACGCCGACGAGACGCCCAGCCTCGCCTTCGCGGCGCGCGCGGGCGGTGCACGGGTCACCGAGCACGGCCCCTCGGGGCGTCGTGGGCCGAAGCAACGGAGACCCAGATATACAGGCCTGGTGCGGTGGAAGGAGGAGGGGGACGTGTGATTGGGTGGCTGAGACACGCTGTAAGGAGCCTTCAGTCGATTGTGCAGTTTTGGGATTTTGAGTCTGTGGTTTGAATACACTTGCTGGAATGCGTTCCAGGAAGGTTTGCTGCATGGTGCTTACCATTTCCAAAGGTTGCATTTCTATCAATGTTGGCATCTAATGTCGCGACAGCACGTGTGGAAGTCATATTGATTTTTCCATGTGTCCTCCCGGAAGACTGCCAAGCGCCAGATCTCCCTACAGGCCGCAAGAGCCGCCAGAGCCGCCAAAGCCGGGAGCGTTCTCGAGCCTGTTCGGAGCCGCGCAAGCCGCCCAAACAGACCGAGCGGTGGTATAGCATGGCAGTGCTTGGGCGAATTCGTTCGTTTGGGAGGTCTGGGGGAGTAGTGACGTGGTGCACGGAGGTGGGATGGGAGACGGAGCTCCGGCGTTCCTGGTGCGAAAAAAAAGACTGTTTGGTGCTCAAGGGGAACAGCCATTCCAAAGATTGGAGAACACTATCATCGAAGCCCCTCAATCCAGCTCATGTCAAATGTTCAGAACTTAACAATCTAGCTGATGCACTTCATAGTAATTCAGCCGCTTGCTGCGTGTTTCCCAGTCTTTGCTTTGTCACTGCCATCACCTTGCGCTCACCGTCACCGAGTCCTTGGCACCCCAAAACCCACGCCGTCAACGAACGTCACCGCCGAGATGCGCCGAGGATGACGCCGAAAGCCTTGAGAACTTGGCAAAGCGCCTGTTTCCACGGCCCACGGCCATCGAGGATTTGTTGGACGAAGTCGATTTGGACGCGCGGTGGCGGGTTCTGGAGGGTTCCGGGGGGTTCTGGCGGGCGAGGTAGGGTGTGGTGGGGTGGTGGTGATGGTGATGGTGGTGAGACGAAACGACCCATCCTAGAAAGAGCCTTGTAAACTTGTAGACTGGGTGTATTTGATGCGATTCTTTGGAGGTTTGAGGAATTGAGGTTTCAATTTTGATAATTTTAAGGGTCTGAGTGGAAGATCAGGATCAGGCCATGAAAGGAAGCAAAAGGGGTTGGGGCTCAGATGCCGCTTGGGAAGCTGAAGAATCCTTTATATACAATATGTGGGTCCTTTGTTGAGGGCCCGGGCGTGTGTCAGTGGTGTCAGTGGTTCTTGCTTTCCTTTTTTGTTTTGGCCTCATGATGGGGAGCTAAGAAGGTTGTAGTGTCCTTCAATCGGTGGAGGCTCAACGGTTGGTTGAAACAGATGGTTGGAAGCTCTAGCCGATGACCAGATGGTGGAAACTCAACGGTTGGTTGTTGAATTACTTCAAACAGATGGTTGGTTGCTCAAGTAAGTTATTCAAACCATTTGTTGGGAGCGCTTGACTGGCAATGAAGCGGCTAAAGTCTTCCATCTGTTTACACTGCCAAGGATGCCGCTGCCGACCACAGCCTTTTGTCACAACTGGATGCTTTGGAGAATGAGGATGATGACGAGCCACTTGGACATCAGCCCTGGCGACAGGCGTTTTGGCATAGCATCTGATCAGAAAGACCACTGATTCTGTGGAAGTATGGGCCATTGTGCCATCCAGCAGCACCATATGAACATATATTTTGAGCATGAAGTACCGTTTTTCCTCAAGCTGTGTTTCTTGTTGGTCTACAGCCCTATTCTTGTTTGTTTCTGGTGCTCTTAGTGCTCACGCATTGCTGGATTGACGCACTGCGATGGATGCAGATGTCAAGGCTCCGTTTGGAGCCTTGGCCTTGTCCAAGGTTGCCGGGCTTGGTCCTCTACAACCAATGACGACCGCTCAACCTGCGGGTTGAGGAGCCACACGTGCTCCCCCCTCAATCTCTACGCATCGCACAATCCCAAAACAGGGTGTTTTGTCCAACAAGGACGTGAGAATGAAGCTGCAAGAATGTGCGATGGATAAGGTGGGGCTAGTTGATGTAGGTGGTTCAAGTCCCCGGTCGCTCTTTTGATCATAAGACGGGTGGTCCAGTGCGAAGGCCATTTTGGGATTGTTTTGGGGAATGTCATATGTCCTTCCAGACGAGTACATTTGTATGTAGATATATGGTAGTTGTACCAACCACTGACACCAAACATTTGTGTAGAGTTTCGGTAGCAGTAGCACCCAGGATGAACCACCGTGTAGGAGGCCGTAGGTCTTTATGTAGCTTCTTAGACGACGTAAGCTGCGTCGCAGCTTCCATGCTGTCGAGGATTTGCAGAGACTTTGTGGTATTCTCCAAAGCCAACGAAACTCCTGAGAGAGCAAAGTCCAAATCCACACATTGCCATGGGGCACATCTTTTCAGATTTTGAGCAGAAAAATGCGCTTCGGAAGCTCCTGTGGGACCTAGCAGGGAGGTCCGGAGATGCAAGGCCTAAGGGCAGGAGCTCTGGAGATGGCTCAGCTTTTGAATGTTGTTCAGGTTGGGGGTCGCTGGCGGGACAGTGCTTTTTGGGTAGCCATGTTAGTTTTGGCCGCACCTTTGTTGACTGACACAGCAACGATGCCAGACGACTAAGGCTACCAGGCTACCAGCGGCTACCATAGTTACCATGTGATGCCAACTTTGCCATACTTGAGGGTAACCATGGTCCAACAACCTTCACAAGGATTGACGGATCATGGTCAGCCTGTAGGACACATCGGGGGGGCAAGGGATGTGTGTCACTAAAAGCCCCGAAAGAAGACATGCATAGAAATGCATATCAAATCAGACATCAGCACCATGTCAACACCTTGTCCCCCCCAAAACTTGCAGTGCCTTGGTTTTTCGATTCAAAGCCATGAAAAGCGACCTCCACACCGACCTCCAGGTGTGACTCAAGCATCCGTCCAGTGCACCAGCTCCAGCACCGTGAGAGCGCTGAAGGTGGCCGTTGCGGAGCGACTGGGCCACGACTGGGGTAGTCGCGGGAGGTTCGCCGGGTGGTCCAAGAGAGCTGGGCCACAGATCCAACAAACACTCCAAGCAAGTCTATCATAGTCTATAGGTCTCTTTCTGAGATAGGTCTCTTTCTGATAGTCTATATAGATCTAACAAGTGGAATCAGAAAGAGATTCTATAGTATATAAGTTCATGTAAGTGTGCTTGACGTGTGGTCAACAGTGGGGTGTTTTGCTGCACTGTTGCACTGTGCTGGTGGCCGTTTGCAGTGGCAGAGAGTTTGAAAGTGCGCATAGAGTGGGTTCTCCTACACCTCATGGCTGTTTAGAATTGTTTCCTACTCAAGGTCCACACAGCGCTTGAGACATTGGGGGCTCCAGCGTTTAATTGGAAATGTATGGAAATGTATGGAAAAGTCACGGGAAAAGCAGAAGAAGAATGACATAGGCCCATAGGCAAAATGTACTTAAAAGCTGATAGTCAGAAGCCATGTTTGAGGGGCACGGCTATCCCAAACTGCTTCCATGCCAGACGTTTAAAACTGTCCTTCCAACTGGCTAAGGAATGGTGGGCCGCCAGTCATCATGCAGACTCTCACCTGCGAGGCATGTTGGAATGAGTGAGACGAAAAAATGCACACACTTGCATACAAATGAGCCCCAGAGCTGAAGCTTGTAACCTTCCCAAAGGATTTCAGGCAGCAAGGATCCACCAACTCAGGGGGCATCTCTCTAATGTGTCCCCAATCATGCCACGTCAGGATGGTCGCTTGAAGGACGATGAGACTGTTCACTCCTTGGGATGGAAAGGAGACTTGAGCAATTCTATCGTGGCTCCGGTTTGGCCCGCACGTAGCCTTTTGAACGACCTTGGGACCCAGCGTGTTGTAGTATGAATCGGGATGAACCCTATCTCTAACCGTAATCCATTGCATGATAGTATGGCATAGCATAGTATCGTAAAGTGTATATGTATATAGATATATGATACACTCTTATTTGCATTACTCTATATTGTAAATTCAAGTGAGATCATTGATGATTTCATGTCACTAGCATGGAGAATGCAGAGAGGTTGTGGTGTAGATGGACGGATGATCATGGCTTAAGTGTGCCACTAAGTACTATGGACCACTACATTGGCCACCAAACAAACGCTCGTTTGCTTGCTCGCCAGTCGCCGTTTGCTTGCGTCCTGTCAGGAGATGTCACGGTCTACATGCTCATTGAGAAGGCGTGCGACCTCATACCTCGGTGTCGGCGTCGAAGCTTCTTCGGGTCGCCCAACAAAGAGACGTCACGTCTCCCGTCTCATGGAGTCGACGTCACACGGGCTCCTCTTCGGGCTCCTCCTCGGCCCTCGGAGCCCGCCAGCAGGAACTCAATCTGGAGAAGAACATCGAGGCATTGGAGCCGAAAGGCACGAAAGCGCTGGAGGAAAGCGCTGGATTCACCGCATGAGATGTAGCGAGGTGATCTGTGTGGTTGAGGTGATTGCCGCTTTGAATCTGAGTTGTGCAAGTGGATCGGTTCCAACATACTAGTAGAGAGAGAGAGAGAGATTGTCAATTCACCAATGCGTTTGACACGACATTGGAGATTCTAGCAAGGCCTATTCAGAGCCGATTTTGAAGCAACCGGCTCAAACACCACTACATTTGGAAAAAAAACCTCTCTAAAATCCACAGGCATCAGGAAGCTTGAGAACACAAAACCAGGACTCTCCACTATGCTTTCCTGAGAATCTTCTCCCACTAGCTCGGTACGTGGTCCGGGCCAGGCCGGCCCCGCCTGGCCCCGGCCCTGCGACCGCCAGGCGACCGCTACTTCAGCCGCTCGCCACAAGGAGGAGCGGCGGGCTGGGCGGCCGGGCCGACCGGCGGAGCGAATTGACACCGGCGGAGCTGCGCGCCCGGGGACCGTGGTTGACCCTGAAAGACGATAAGTGCTACACATAATATGAATCGTCAACCTACCCATGAATTGCTGGGGGAGGTAGATGTATATATATATATATACTCACAGCCTAATATGATGAGATAGACCTTTTTTTGTGGGACAGTGGTTGTCACATCAGGTGGTGTCAGACTTGTTTTTTTCCCGAAATCTTTGCCTCTACATTACATACTGGAAGTCAGGATGTCCACTGTCCAAGTGAGGAGCTTTTGTAGTGAAACACTGCTGTGCCAGTGGCCACTGTGACACTGCGCCAGTGGCCAGGCGGATCTCGGACCGCCCAGGAGCACACGTGGACCTTCCAGAAGCGGAGCTCAGCAAAGGGCTGAGGAGCAATGCATCGTTAGCCCTGCTGCGCAGCCGGAAAGTCCGATCCAAGACCGAACAGGGTTTGACTGATGGCCCAAAAAGGATTTGCCTTGACTTCGGTCCAAAAATCCTCGAACTGGACTTTGACATAGACTCTGTTCAACCAAATGTTGCTCCATCCTTCAAGTCACCGGTTGCGATGCGTCTCCGTGCGCGAATTTTATCGAAATTCCATGAAGTTCATGAAGTCGCAGCTCCTGTTTGCTTCTTCTTGATGATAATCCGATAATCTTAAGATACTCGACCATGTAAATATTCAGAGGGCGTGAATCCCTGCAACCATTTTGCTTGTTCTTCTTGGTCTTGGAAATCACCATGCGTCTCATCAGTGGGCCCACCTGTCACAGGCCCTACCAGCTCCCCAGCGGAAAGAACTGCAGTTCCGAGGCACCCTTTGCGAGTTGTGCTGTAAGATCTTTTTGCACCTCAGCTGACGGGAAGAGCCCGAGGAAAAGACACAGACTGTGGGCTAGATAGATCAAGTGGCACTCAATATCCATAGCAGGTGAATAATCACAAAGACGCAAGAAGAATCGCCAAGCGAACTTCCAGCTGGAACTAAAGAAACCACCAGGCGACCCAACGTTTATGAATGGTGGACAATTGTTTGGTAAAGTTTGATTTCACCACACGGTTTCCCATCGTTTGATCAATTTTGTCCAGTTTGACTTCAAGCCTGCTGGGCATTCTGGCACATGTCTGATTGACTGGTTTCAGCTCGTTTTCCTTCTTGTCACCAGATTTGCCCCAAACCACCCGTTCACTCGAGAGGTTCCCTTTTGATGTGTTCTTTCTTCGCTGTTACTTTCACCCCTTCCTTTACCAAAACCCTCTCATCATCTCCAATTCATATATGTACCATACAAGCTCAAATCCTATATTTTTTTTTCAGTTGTAGGGTCGATGGAGAAACCTAGGGTTTGTGAAGGAAACCCGATGTTTTCCAAACCAGTACTAAATACAGGTTAAATATAGGTTTAATACGTGTTAGAAAAACAAGACCCGAGGTTCTGAGAACAAGCCCTAGGTATTGTTGATGGCACATGTGCATACCCGAGGTTTCGATTGAAACCCTACAAAATTATAGGGCTTGGGCGCGTATTATAGGGTATATGCCTGGACCCTCCAAGGGGTGTCCAATGGACTACCCCACACTACCTATAGGCTTCCATTGGGCACCCCTTGGAGGGTCCTGGTATATACACATACCTGGAACCTGAGTGACCCCTGTTTTGGAGGATCAACTCTCCAAAATATGGTCGTTTCCTATCAAAACAGTCAGTCAGGCTCTAGGTATATATATATATACCTCTTGATTAGTACACGCCCTGCCTCCGTTCGCCGCCTCCGGGGGCTCTTCGTCCTCAGGTCAGAGCCGCCGCTCCTGGAGGTGCCGAGCCCTGTCGTGGTGCTGGGCGCCCTCAGCGGCGCGGAGCCCAAGAGGTCAGGTCGAAGCAAGTCGAACCAAACTGACTTGGCATGAGAAGACTATACAGTCTGATACAGTCTGACTATACAGTCTTATACCACCAGAATATCTGCTACAGCCTTATAGATTCTTTTTTGGACCCTTCACATCCCTCGAAATCGAAATGGAAGATCAATGACGTGAACAAATGGGCAGAAGATGGATTCTCCTTCGCACACAGGTGCGTCCACTTCCGTATTTGTTGGGGGAACTGACTTTTATGAATAGCGCTGCCCCAGTTGCGCCACAGGGGTGGTTTTAGACCAGAGGGAGCGTTTTAGCCTTTGAAGCTGCATTGGAGAGGGTTTCGAACATATAGTTCAAGAAGGGTTCTTGAAAGGCTTTGGCTTTGACCTCCTCGTTAGCCTTGAGGATGATGTGGGTTGAGGCCCTGCTGCAGTCAAGAGGAATGTATGTAAATGTGTAAAAGAAAGACATTGGTGCAGTCCCCGGGCCGTTGAGGCCCTGCTGGCAGCGAGAAATGTGTCATTTCTACACCGTTCTGTGACCGGACCGTGCTGCGTCATACGGGTGCCGAAGAATCGGGGCCTACCAATCGCTTGTTCGTTTGGGCAAGAAGGACGATGCCATGTTTACGCCAGGAAGGACGATGCCATGTTTTCTCAATTTGACACACTGTTTGCCCCGAAGAAACGCTTGAAAAAGAGTGTTGGGCATCCTCCCTCCAACATAAAGTAATGCCGACACCGGATTAATCATTACCCCTTCAAGGTCAACCAGGTTTGAGACTGGAGGGATTGGAGACCACATCCCCTTAATAAAGGTGATGACCTGATGATGGATAATGGTTGATATGATTCTGTGTGAACACTGAGGCCTGTGAGAGGGGTACCCTTTGTGAGCTAGAACGCATTAGAGATAGAGTTTTAATAAGGGAACATGACAGGATTTTGCTGGAGAGGTTTTTTAGGGATTCTGGAACAATGGATGCTGACCAGAAGGTGTTGGATGCTTTGCTTGATAGTAAATCAAATTCTGACCGCAATTACAATAGTAAACGATGTTCTTTTTTCTGGGGCAGCTGGGCTTGATTATATAATAGGTTTCTGCTAATAGGAAAAATATTGGGGTGATGTACATGTGGAATTCAGGTTTTAAATTAGTTTAGTATTGGGGGCTCGAGCTGGGCTTGATTAGTAAGGGGAGGTTACTGGGTTCCTCTGTCAACATTATCATAAAGTGTTTGAGTGATTCTTGGTTGAACATGACTCGAAAGTAAGACGTCCTGAATATACTCAACGGATATGTTGGATTATGTTGGCCAGTTGGGCCTCATAGGAAAGTGATACGCCTTTTGTGAGGACCATTCACCCTGTTTGGCCTTTATATAATGAGATTCAATATTAATAAGGCTCAATGGGACAGTACTCGTATCTCCGACCACAGGATTGGTCAGGGAATGCATGATCTACGAGGTAATGACACAAGAGCAGGTGCTGGTGAGAAGGACGACGAATTGTATTTTAAAGCAGTGCAGAAGTACCGTGAAACGGGGTTTTCTGAGCAGGATTGCGGTCGTTCAAGGATGTGAACTAGGGTCGAAGATGGTTAAAGTCTTTCTTCTTGTATCCAGGTGTTGTTCAACTATGTCCTGGCATTTTTCTGATAAGCAAGTTGGACTCCGATCAATTCCAGAACGGATGCCGACCTTTCAGGTGAGCAACCCGACGCGATTAACAGCCAGACGTTCAAACCACCGTCGATTCGGGGAAGCCGAAGAGCAACCCGCCAATGTCACATGATCCATGAAACCTCTTCCATTCAGCTGTTGCCGTGTAGGGAAAATGCATTTGCGTGAGGGACACTGGTCATCAAGAGCTTTGAAGGGCTTTCCGACCTTATTCGGGCAATGGGTTGTGTAACCCTTCCCAGTGAGGTTGAATGTCACAACCCATTTCTCGACAGGTACGACTGAAGGCTGTCGCCCTTGGTTGTAAGGCGCTTTCATCTTCATACTTCTTGAATTAGAGTGGGTCTCAGTAGCAGAGTAGGGGAACATTTCAGACATCTTCGAGCCATCCTGACCAGGTGCTGGACCTGTGGCCAAAAGACGAATCACGAAGGGGGGTCCCAACGCATGTTCAAGGGAGGCCAAATTGGCCAAACATGACATGGCTGCAAGCACAAGAGGCGAAACAAATGCCACGCACGGGCCAACCAATCTGCAGAATCTAGATTGAGGTGAAGCTAAATTTCAATTCTGCGCTGGTAACCACTTCAATTCTGCGCTGGTTGCTAACTTGCCAAGTGTGCAGATAGAGCTACTGGCCTCCCGAATCACTCAATCACTCAGCAGGATGGCAGCCATGTGTAGCCAGTTGGAGTTCTGAACTTTTTGTGCTGCCGGGGTCGGGGTGATTGAACATTAGCGCCAGCATATATAAACACCAGATGCCACTGCACGACTGGATGCATAACCTGGATTCAGCCTGATGAAGTGCAGCGCCCTAAAGGAGGGAACGCCTTGTTGAACGCATGACTTCTTTGAGCCCCTTTGAAACAGCGCTTCCCTGAGGCAATTTGCTTCAGCTCCGGGAGATCTTTGCCATGTGTGGCCCTTTAAGCAAAACTCGCTACATTTGCCTTGGGCACTATGCTGACAGGCAAACATCTTTGCGTGGGATGTGGGGTGTCAGCTGAACTGCTAAACTGCTATTGACATATTGCACCGTGTTCGAGACGATAAGCAGCTTACTTACGTCTTTAAATTCTAGGAAGGGCTTGTTTGCAACCCCAAAGCCACAGACAGGTGCGCAAAGACCCAACCAAAAGAAACTGTATGTGAATGTGCACATATTTGGTCCTATAGCCGTGTTTTAGGACCATTCACTGTTCACTTGCTTGATGATGCAAGGATTTGCTCACGAGATGGTCGCATCGTATAGAACCCTGCACCGTCCACAGGGGCGAGTGCGGCATTGAAACCTTGTCGCTCTTGTTGCACTACAAGTGCAAATGCCCTGAGAGTTGCTTGCTTGCTATAGCTTGGGAACGTGAATGGAGGATGGCGTGATGTCCCAGAGTGTCGGCACTCGAAACGTGCCCATAGAGGATGGCGGGACCTTGCACCCGATCGTGCGCACGGATCTCGCTGGACCACCTCGCATCCCTTTCTCGGCCCCGGAACGGGGATGAGAAGTTCATTGGGCAACAGGCTGTAGTTCTTATGTCCGGAAATCAAGTTGGACCTCGGACCTTGGGTCTCAGACCTCGGACCCTTGTCATCGTTGGCCTCGCCATTTTCCAATGGCCTCGCGTCCAGGCCATTGGTAACTGCGCTCTAGTTTATGTTTTAATGTTTTTGTTGGCCCGTGGCAATGCATCATGTTTTCCCCAAGCACAACAAATTATGTTTGAAAGAAATCCCCAGTGCATTGTTTTCTTCCTGTCGGGGTTCTTTCTTGGGAAGGATGACGATCCGAGTCTGAAGAGGCCGCCCGTCCTTTTCTTCACCACCGGACGGCCGTCGCCCGTGTTGTCCCGTTCACCACCGCCGGTGTCCGAGTCGTGGTGGTAAAATGAAGCTCCAGTCCTGCAGCGATGCAGCGTTTGGACCTTTTGAGACCCCAAAAAATCAAAAAAAAATGATTTGATTTGACACGCTGTACTCAAGCAGTTGGAGATGTTCCACTGAGTCGGAGATGTTCCACCGACGAGCTGTAACTCGACGCAGAAAGCCAGCCGTTGAAACATGTTGAAAGGTTGTTTAGGTTCTATGTTGGATTATGTTGGTATAGTGTTTCAATCACCGCTGGGCCAACTCCAAGCCAATGGTGTTGCACATGAAGACCCATTACAAGTGGCGCACGAAACAGGCCATTTAGTCACTTTTCGCGTAGGCCATCCAGGCATCTCACAACACCAGCCGCCACGCGAGACCTTGATTTTTGGGCCGGTAGACGTGGCGCCGCGGCACCAAGGTTTGATCATGCTGCGTGGGAAGCATGCGATTTGGCCTGTGAAGTTTGCGAAGGGGTCTGCGAGGTTCGGGGGATTAAGCTTAGCACATCTTAGCACCTTGCATTGCAAGGCACCAGAGCATGGAAGCAACATGAAGCAACCCACGAGAGGCAAGACGTGATACGGTTGGAAGACGTGATAGACATCCTGGTTTGGACAGGGCGCAATTCAAGGACAGGGCAGACTGTGCCCATTGAGTTAGGTGGCCATGCGACTGCAACTACCAATTGGCCCATCAACAACGGAATCGGAGTTGTTCACCCTTTCGGGGAATCGCGTGCGCAGGGTCCGAAGTCGACTCAGGAATGTGCCAGCATCAGCCGCATCTACGGCTTGTACGACGAATGCCGTCGGAGATACAATGTGAAGTTATGGAAGTGCGGACTCCTATGGTATCGGCGCGTGGAGATTGAGATGGGATGTTGAGTCGGGTGGCGTGCCTGTTTGGGATCATCCAGTTTCTGGGGATCTGGTTTTGGAACCAATTGCGACTTACACTCTGACTCGCTAACATAATGTGAAAGTGGAATGTTCCGTCCCTTGGTAGACTACTTTCCTTTAGGTGGCTTTCCACTTCCATGTTGGTGACCCAGAGTGTATGGCATAGCTCTCGCTCTTTTCTGAGGAGCTTCGTGAGGGTGTTCAACACCATGCCTTGGGTGCGGACTCTGAGTTTTTCACGATGGGAAGGTGAAGAAGATGTCAAAAAAAGGCAGTTGCGAATGTGTTGTTTTCTTCGGGCAATCAAGAAGCTACTAGGAACAAAGGGCATCGCTACTAGGAGCAAGAAGCTACTAGTAGCTCCTGGCCATACTACTAGCAACAAGAAGCTACTATAGGGCCAAACAGATCAGCCGAGCGCCGGCATTAGGGCTGAGTGGGCAAGGCCTGCACAAGAGCTATTTCTGATGATCAAGGGCTCAGAGAAAGCCACCAATTCGTTACTTGAACAGGTGTTTTGAGGGATGAATTAGCGTTGCTTTTCCATCGTGCGGAGGCAGACCGTCAGTCCTCATAGTCTTTTGATGCAACATCCCGACTGGCCCGGCCCCAGGCCTGTGTGGTCCAAAGTCGAATCCTTTGCGTGCACTCGGGCATATCGCTTTCATTACCCCGCAGCTTCCACTGCAGCTTCAGCCGTCCGCCACGAGGGACCTCAAGTGGTGACGACGGGGACGGAAGGACTTGCTGGGTGTCTCCCCGTGTGGCTCGGCCCGCCACAGAACTTGGTAGAGGACCCAAACATGAAAACATTTGGCTGAGTAACATGCACCATCCATGCCATGCATTTCATCTAGCATATCACCGCATATCTAGCTATCTCTGGTTGTTTTCTACTTCATTTGAGAACCATACCACCTATATCCACATTCCTTGAGCAAAGCTGCTGTGAATCGAACGCTGTTCGATAGGGTTGTGAGGCAGGAAGCTGTTT